ACAATGGCTTTAAAGAGGGTGGGACCATGGGCTTTTTAAACCTCAAAGCCCATCCCCAGTGACACACCTCCTCCAGGGCCACACCTCCGAATACTTCCCACACATTTCCGCCAACTGGGAAACAGGTATTGAAACACAGGAGTGTGCAGGGCCGTTGCCATTTAAAACACTGTAATGTGTAAGGGCAGCTAAGGAGTAAACTGTAGTTCCATTTGTTTGCCGGCTGCATATCATGGGCTACTTTAGAATAACTTTTATTGGTTCAGTAGCTACGACGGAACGTAGAGACAGTGCAAGCCCAGCCACCTGAATTTGATCTCCGAAGCCCGTGTAACAGTGGAAGGAGAGGACCAACTCCACAAAGTTGTCCTCTGACCTCCACGCAAGATCTGTGGCATGCATACCCACATACAATCATTCACACACACACACACACACACACACACACCTGATAATAAAGCAAAAAAGAACTAGAGACATTCTCCCCTGAAAGAGTCATCATCTTTTCCTGCTTCAGAGCTTCTGCATGGAGCCTGGAGCTTGACCCAGTCAGCCGCTCCCTCTGCTCTACCTCTCTGCACCCCTACAGCTTGCCCGACGCAGCCACAAGCACAACATCTGCCTCACAGGTGTGTCAAACTGTCACCAGGACCCGGAGGCTGCCATCAACCGCCGGGTCACCCTGGATCTCACGCCTCCGGTGTCTCCGCCCGTGCCTGGCTACTTTACCATGATGGCCTGGCTTTGAGGAATGGAATGGCCGAATATGCCTGGGAGATATCAAGAAGCCAGGGTGTCAGGACTGGAGACAGACGACTCCCTGGGTTGGGTATTCACTGGCCGTTCCTCCACAGGGGCCAGGTGTGATTCCCTGCACCTACACGACAGCTCACAATCATCTGTGACTCCCTGGCTGGCCTCTACAGGTACTCTCATGCGTGTGACACATGGCACACAGATATTCACACAGGACAAAACCCTCACACACATAAAAATAATTTAAAAAAGAAATCTGGCAATATACCGTTTGGACCAGGCAAGAAATGAGCATAAACTAAGGCTAAGCATTCATAACTAGTAAGACGTCTCCATATCATGATTTGGTTGTCCAAAAGAAAAAGCCTGCTACAGACCATCTATAGTAGTTTCACAAAACACCCTTTTCGTGTATCAGTAATAGCAAATTTATAAAGTTGGAAGAACTGAGTGAGTGGCCTGGGCTCATAAATGTGGTAGCTTTGGTAAATAGTATGGTGACATCTTCAGTACTGTCCTCAGCAGGCTACAAAGGCCTTGTTCAAGATTCTACAGTCATTTAAATCTGGGTGCCCGGGGAGCAGGGGATCATCGTCTCAGAGTCTGGAGGGGCCTTAGTGCAGACGGCGTTCCTGCGTAGCGGTGGTCTCCATTCCCTTAGGAGACATTGTCTACCAGATCTGTTGTTCCTGCAGTCCCAGACGACTGTAGGAGGAGAGACACGGGGTAGAGGAGATGATGCCAAACGGAGGCAGGTGGGCAGCCTTTCTACTGTGTCCACTGTGCACAGACATCTGCCCCTCAGTCAGGGGAACTCTTCACTTTAGCACAAGCAGCCACAGTCTTTGTCACAGTGTGTGGGAACAGCAGCTGCAAACAGTGGGATGTACGGATCTCCCAACATGTGGAGGCCTATTGATTGTGATAATTAACACCGGTTAATTCTCCTGTATTTGACAGGGTCGAGAGTCACCTAGGAGACAAACCTCCAGGCATGTCTGAGGGGGTTTGTGCCTTAGGTCACCTGAGGTGGGAAGACCCTGGCTTTTTTTACTCTTTGCTCTTTGTCCCCCTACCCCAGCTCCAAATAAACACACATTGAGTCTTACTATTATTTATGAATCCCTGGCCTTAGCTTGGCTTGCTCTAGCCAGTGTTTCTTAAATTATCCTGTCTACCTTTGCCTCTGGGCTTTCATCTTTCTCTATTCTGTCTGCTTTTCTTTACTTGTTACTCTGTGGCCTGCTGTGTAACTGTGTGGCTGGCCCCTGATGTCCTCTTTATTTTCTCTTGCTTCCTCTTTTTTCTCCTTCTATTTATTCTCTCTGCCTGCCTATCCTTTCCTGCCTAACTATTGGCCGTTCAGCTCTTTACTAGACCAATCAGGTGCTTTAGAGGGGCAAAGTAACACAGCTTCACAGAGTTAAACAAATGCAACCCATCTTTGCATCATGAAACAAATGTTCCACAGTATAAAGGAATATAACACATCTTTAACTAATCTTCCGCAACAAAGACCCAACCTAAATTCGAGTGATCTTCCATAAACTGTGGTCCCTGCTTGAATAAAAAGAGACAGCAAGGTGAGCACCAACCTGCCCCCACTGCCTGCTGACTGTGGATGCCGCGTGACAATGTGATGAGTCACCTTGTGCTTCTGCTGCCATGACCTCCTGCCGTAATGTACGGTGACCTTAAGTTGTGAGCCAAAAGAAGCCTTTCCTTCCAGAAGTTGCTTTTGTTAGGGGTGTTTCATCACAGCCAGAGGTGAGTGACTGACCTAGACCATTAGAAGACTTTGCATATTTTCTTTTGCCTTAAATGCCAGAGAAGCCACCAGAGCCCTACCGTGTGTCCACCACAGGAGGGAAGACAGGTGGAACAATGTGTTAGTTTGGTGGTGGGGCTGTGACAAAATACCATAGACTGGGTCATTTATAAGAAGTAGAAACTTTGTTTCTCGTGGTTCTGGAAGTTCCAGTCGTGTTTCAGGGGCTGAGCTCTGAGAAGTCTCTTGTGTCCAGCACGTGGATTCCCTGAGTCTCCGCATCGGATAGACTGTTTCTCATGGCAAAATGAATGCCCTCTAGGCCATCGTCTTTTCATGAAGATAAACAGATAAGCCGGAAGGTGAGTTTTGGACATAGATGTTCAAATTAAATTATAGCACAGAGGCAGATTTAGGCAAGAGTGTTGGTAAGAAAATAAGTCTGAGAAAGTAGATTTTCAAGATTCAGATAATATATATATAAAACATATATATATATACACTATATCTACAGTTGTGTCTGTAGTGGGTATGTGTGTGCATGTTTGTGTGGTTACGAGTGTAAACATGCTTGTAAAGACAAGAGGACATCCTTGGGTGTTCCTTAGGCACCGTTCACCTTGTTTTTGAGGCAGGGTCTCATACGGTGTCTCCCCAAGTAACCAGCAAGCTCTGGGATCTCGTACTGTTTTCACATTGCTGGGATCACAAGCACAGGTGACCACGACTGTTTTTCTCTTAAACATCTGACCTAGGGATCAAGCTCATGTCTTCATGCTTGTTCAGCAAGTGCCCGACTATCGGAGCCATCTTCCTAGCCCTTGAGGACATGTTCTTGTTGTTGCTGTTTGTCTTTTGAGACAGAGTTTCTCTATGGAGCTCTAGCTGTCCTGGAGGTCAAAGGAAAGAAAATGGACATCAAGAACAATTCATTGGGAGCAACCAGGGGACAGTAGGAATGTTGGCTAGGATTGGGAAGATGGGAAAGCAAGAGCCATGGACCCTGCAAATTCGGAACTCTATCAGACATTCCGAGGAGATGGCACGTTGATTGTTGATTTTTGTCTTACCTATTTATTTATTTTCGGGATGGGCTCTCATGGAGCCCATACTGGCTCCAGATTTAAGTACATAGCAACAGGGATGACCTTGAACTCCTCACCCTTCAGCCTAATGTGCACGCACACCATAAAAGGCTTATGCAGCACCGTGGGTCAGAACCAGGTTTCCTGCATGTTGGACAAGCCCTCTGCCAGCTGAGTCACAACCTCAGACCAAATGTTTCTTCTCCGTCAAGTTGATGGGTTGGGTCTGGGAATATCTAAATGTTATTCAACCACATTAAAGAGCTGGGGAGATGGCTCAGCCGTAAAGGCGTGGCTCACCACCAACCACGTTAAAAGCATCTAACACTGTTGTCAGGTTTGCTAAACTAAAAACTATGCATATCAAGCAACCTCAGTAACGGACCTACAGAGATTACACATTATACATGTGTTTATGTGTTTGAGACGTGTGTGTGTGTGTGTGTGTGTGTGTGTGTGTGTGTGTCTGTATTGGCCAGTCTTGCTTTGAACTCTGGATTCAAGGGATCTTCCTCACTTGGTCGGTCTTCCAAGTATTTACTATACTACCTAACCCACGGCACACCAGTTTAAAGATAGCCATTTTTCTTTTGTTCTGAGACAGGGTTTCTCCGTGTAGCCCTGGCATTCCTGGAACTGGATCTGTAGACCAGGCTGGCCTGGAACTCACAGGTCTGCCTGCCTCTGCCTCCCGAGTGCTGGAATTAAAGGCGTGCGCCACCACTGCCATCTGATAGTCATTTTTAATAGAAAAAAAGGAGCTTATAGAACGAATGGATGCATGCTTCACTATGTATTTCATTGGAAGCATGCAAGCAAACAGATTAGAATACCAGCCGTGACCATTTCAGGTGTTGGGATTTACTGTGATTTTATTCCTTGGTCATTTAAGATGGCCTCAACATTCAAGTACTGTCTTAGGTAATTGGTGTTTGCTTTTTTTCAAGGCAAGGCCTCCTGTATCTCAAGCTGACCTAGAATTCTCTGTGTAGCTGAAGATGACCTTGGATTTCTGGTCCTTCGGCCTCCATCTCCCCTGTGCTGAGATCACAGGTGTGCACCCTCATGCTGGGTTTATGTGGTGCTGGGGGTGGAACCCAGGGCTTCTAGGTAAGCATTCTTCCAATTAAGTCACATCCCTACTCCAACTATTTGGGGTTTTGTTGTTGCTGTTGTAGTTTGTTTTAATAAAGAGAATCCACAGAGGCGTCTTGCTCTGCACAGTGCGTGGCTGGGCCACCTGTCAGTTGCGAGGGCGTCAAGATGATGCAGTGATGCAGGCAAAGGACCAGGTGTGGAGCCCCAAGGCAGCCAGGCCCCGCCTCAGGGCTGCGTGGGGCCAGGAGAAGTGGGCGGGCCGAAGGGCGCGCCTACAGATCACGTGGCGGACGCGGACCAATGGACGTCTCGGAGCCCACCTTGAGGCCGGGGCGGGGCGCCGGGCTGGCGTCACCAGGACAACGGGCGTCGCCGGCGCCGTGTGACTCCGGGCTGTGGGCGCGCTCGCGGCCATGGTGAGTCTGGGGCCCGCGCCCGCGGGACAGCGGAGATGCTGGGCGCCCAGGGGAGGGTGCGGAGGAGAGCCAAGGCCGGCGGGGCGGGGCCGGGCTGGGCAGTGCAGGGCCGGGTGAGGCCGGGCAGGACAGGGCAGGGCTGATCGTCTTGGTCCTGAAGAAGGACACCCTAGGTCCCCCGGTCCTGCACGCACCGGGAAGCTGTGCTCTCCCATGCTCGGTGTCTGCATCACACACCGGGACCTCCACTCGGTGGACCAGCCCGCCGCCGTGACGCCGTTCGGCCCGAGCGTGCCCGGGAAGCCACCGGAGGGTGTGGTTGCATAGATACCCACAGCCACACTCTCCAGTCTGCGTACTTCAGTCTGCATTTATGCAATGATGCCAACATCTGTCTCAAGTTCAGCGTCCTAGCACCAGGGGATTTAGTGGGTGACTTCGGAGAGACCCCTTACAAACGGGGGACGTTGAGCTGGACTTCTGTTTTTCCTTCTGAGTGCTGCATCCTCAGGGAGGGGTCTAATGGAGCTGTCATTAGTACGTTGTAAACACCTGAAGCCGTTAGCTTTGCTCCATAAACTTGGAAGACTGTGGGCATTGCCACCTGGCCTCCATTAACTCCGTGTTTGAAGCCTTAATTGACTTGGCCTGGGTGCCGAATGGGCAAGGTTCAGGTGCGACTTCTCGAGAGGCCTCCATCTGTATAAAAGTGGGCTCCCCTGGTTCGTGACACACCCTGGGAATAGGATATTTGAGGGTTAGCTAACAGAGACGTGCCTAGGTTTAAGACGTGCATTATCTAGGGGGGCTGGTGAGATGACTCAGTGGGTAACAGCCCTTGTTGCCACTGCTGACAACCCGAGTTCCGTACCCCTGACCCACGTGGTGGGAGCAGAGTCCCGTAAAGTTCCCTCTGATCTTCATTCACAGAAGTAATAAAATGTCAAAAAAATGTGTTTACCATGTATGATCAGATGGGCGTTTGCTCGGCGCGCGCGCGCGTGTGTGTGTGTGTGTGTGTGTGTGTGTGTGTGTGTGTGTCTACCTTACTTTTTTTGACAGGTTCTCTCAGGGAACCTGGAGCTTTGGGCATCTTCTGTGTGTCCCACCCTCGGTCTCCTCTCCTCGCGGCTGAGGTTAGACCCTGCACGCAAGCGGGTTGCACTGGGCAGCGTCCTGTGTTCCTACCTGTGGGGTAGGAAGTGTCTTGTTAGGCTGCCTTGGCTCTGAGCCATCCGGAGGGACCGGCATGTTGTCCCAGCCTGGGGTTACATGCTGGGGCAGAGTGGGCAGGCCTCAGGCTCTCCTGGCTCTGCATCCGTCCCCGTGGCAAAGCTGAGTGCGAAGGGGTTAGCAGGCACGGCGCGTGGATGTGTTCACGATTCCGCGTGGGAGTTTGCCCGGCTCCTCAGCTTGTGTGCCGGACTCGGCTCCGCTGGCTGTGCCTGGCAGGACCGATGATTTACACAACGCCTTCCACCACTCGGTGAAAGAGCAGCGTTTAAAATGCCGTTGCCTTCTCTTGGCTCCCTCTTTCTTTGGGCTCCTGTTTATTCCCTTAGAAAAGGAACAAAAGTTCCTTCTCATCTCCTTTCACCGTTCTCAATTTCTACTGTGGTCAAGACCTCGAGCGGTGGGTTTGATTTTAGTCTGGGACACTGTGTGCCAGAGACCTTTCCTTGGTGCTAGTGTTGTTCAATTCAGCTCATAAAATAAATGTATCTTTTAGATAGTATGTCATGTCGATATATTTTCCCATTTTAATTCATTGTTTCCCTCTATTTTGCACCCCACTTTCTGTTTTTGTCTGTAACCAGCTCTTCTTAAAGGCTTGGGAAATATGAATTTGGGGAAAACGTCAAACTCAAATGTTTAATAGCAGTTTTCCACTATAAAGTTGCTTTTTTACTTTTTTTTTTTTTGAGACCGAGTCTATCTTGGAACCTGAATTAGTCTAGACTGGCTGGCTAGTCAGTCCCGGAAATCACCTGTCTGCACTGCTGGGGTTGACGAACATGCCACAGGGACGGCTGGGGTTTTGTTGGTGGTTTATGTGTGTTCTGGGGATCAAACCCATGTCCTCATTCCTATGTGACAAGCACTTCGCTGTGTGTGTGTAAATTTTTGTTTCTTTTTAAAGATTTAATAATTATGCATAGTGTTCTGCCTGTACATATCCCTGCAGGCCAGAAGAGGGCGCCAGATCTCATTACAGATGGTTGTGAGCCACCATGTGGTTGCTAGGAATCAAACTCAGGACCTCTAGAAGACCAGTTAATGCTCTTAACCTCTGAGCCACCTCTCCAACTTCCCTCCCCCCTCCCTGCTTTTTTTGGTGATTCTCCTGCCTCAGTCTCCTGGGTGCTGGGATTGCTGGCATCTGAGCAGCTAACAAGGGCTCTGGTAGAAATTCAAGGCCAGCTTGGGTAATTTATTGAGATCTTGTGTCAAAGTGAAGGGACTTGGGATGCAGCCCAGCGGTAGAGCACTCATCTGGCATGCACAAGGCCGGAAATCCCCACAGCACCAGGGGAGGAGCTGACTGGGACAGAGCCACTTACAGGATGCGAGCTGTGCTCAACGATGATACAAAGTAGTTGTCTGGATCCCTGCTCCTGATGTTGAGGCTTGGATGATTTCAGTTGCTCTAGTGGCTTCCTTCCCTAGAGCCTGAGTTCTGGGCTGATCACAGTGAATTCCTGCACCCCTCCACCCATGGGAATGACATCATATATATATTTAGTAGACCTAGATTAAGTCCTTTTCCTAGTCCCACAGTAGTTGGTCCGTGGCCAAGTAAGGATTTAAACTCACTCAGGTGTTCTCCAAGGCCTACGATCTTAACCTTCACACCAAGGCCTTCCAAACTGAAGTCTGTGCTACACTAAGAGTAAAATCTCAGAGAAGGGACTGGAGAGATGGCTCAGTGGTTAGGAGCACTGGTTGCTCTTCCAGAGGACCCAGGTTCAATTCTGACACCCATGTGACCTCTCACAACTGTCTGTAAATGCAGTTTTCTGGGATCTGACGCCCTCTTCTGGTCCCTGCAGGCACCAGGCATCCAAGTGGTGCACAGACATACATGCTGGCAAAACACCCCTGTGTGTAAATAAAAAAAGGGAGGGAAAGCCAGGCGTTGGTGGTGCACGCCTTTAATCCCAGCACTCGGGAGGCAGAGGCAGGCGGATCTCTGTGAGTTCGAGGCCAGCCTGGTCTACAGAGCAAGTTCCAGGACAGCCTCCAAAGCAATACAGAGAAACCCTGTCTCGAAAAACCAAAAAAAAAAAAAAAAAAAAAAAAAAAGAATTGCAAAGCATCCTGGTTTGGTTCCTAGCACCCGCGTGGCAGCTCACACTGCCTGCAACTCCAGTTCCAGGGGATCTGTTGTCCTTTCTGGCCTCCTGGGCACTGCAGGCACGCGACATGCATTCATACAAATATATACACGTGCACATAGATAAAAGTAAATCTTTCAATGTTTGGGGGCTGGAGAGATGGCTCAGTGGTTAGGAGCACTTGTTCTTGCAGAGGGCCCGAGGTGGGTTCCTAGTGTTCCTAGCACCTACATGGTAACTCATAGCTACCCTTTGACCCCTGCAGGCACCAGGCACACACATGGTGCACATACTACAATGCAGGCAAAGTACTCACATAAAATAGTGTCTTGTCAGCCAAGCCAGAGGAAGACCAATCTCTCCCCCTCCTCTCTACCTCCCCTCCCCCCTGACAACCTGTCTATTAATATTGACTGATGACAGCTTTCAGAATTAGTTCTGGTTGTGTTTACATTTGTTTATGTACTGTGTGTGTACAAAGGGACATGGTTTGCTCCCGGCTCTACGATGGCATGTTGACGGCCGTGTTCTGCAGTCACAGCTGCTGAAGCTCTGGAGTGCTTGGTGTCTCTCCTGTTCACAGACAGCATTCACAGCACTCCTCCACCCCCCCCCCCTCGCCCCCAGCTCCTCCTCTCTTTCCACCGCCATCGTCCACCATGCTTGTTAAGTGAAGCTTTTTCTTTGCTAGCCGCTTTGGTTTATCTCCCGCCAGTTGCCTGGGCTCTGCCGCTTTGTAGTCCCAAATAAACACACAAGACGCTGTATTAATTATGAAGCTGTTGGCCTTGCTTGTTTCTTACTGGCTAGCTCTGCTTTAAGTCATTACCCCATAATTGTTAATCTAAGTATGTCTCTTACCGGAGAATAGTTCTGGGCTCCTACCCCATGGTGTTACATGTTGACTCTCTCTGTGTTTCTCCTTCCCAGATTCCTCCTGGACTCCTAGTCCCACCTATCTAGATTCTTATTGGCCAGACAGTCTTTATTGACAAATGCACAGGACTTCCCCCAACATCTCCTCTTTTCTGTTTAAACAAAAAGGAAAGTCTTTTTTTTTATTTTTTCTAGTCTTGCTACAAACTTTACATGTTTTTTTTTTTTTATTATGTATGCATATAGTGTTCTATGCTTGGACACCAGAAGAGGGCACCAGATTACGGATGGTTGTGAGCCATCATGTGGTTGCTGGGAACTGAACTCAGGTCCAAAAAGGAAAGTCTTAACTTTAACATAGTCAAATTGTATATAACAGAACAGTTATCAAGTAAGAACATAGTTACAATATTTTAGCAAGATTTAAAGAAAATATCATCCATCCCATCCTTGTGAGTCCAAAGTTCTATATGTAGTTTATCTTTTATCATAACTAAGGAAAACTATAATTATAAATATCTATCTTCAACGCCATCAAAGACCACAGAAGGATAATATATAAACACTAGGATTGACAGAGACATCTTACTGCCTGGACAGTCACCCGAAGTTCCTCTGTAACGTTGGGGCATCCATCTTCAGCCCATAGGCCACAATGTGTCCAGAAGATTTCTCAGCAAAGCAGGAAATTTCGAACTGTCCATCTGCATCAGCAGTCTGTCAGTCATTTTTCTGTGTCTTGCAGAAAGTCTGGTAGACTCTTCCATGAAGCAGGAACCCTGTAAGACT